GTGAACAATGACATGCAATCCACGGTCACTACTCCAGAATGTTCGACCACCAGATATTCCTGAAGTTACATTGATAAAAGGCACTGACATTTATAAGAAAAGCTATGTCCTTACTGGTCTTTGCCCAAAATGTCAGACCCAATATTCTGCTGATCGTGAACGAGTAGTTGGACAGACTGGGTCATTTGATCAAGTATACTTGAACTCTGCTGTATACTTGAAAGTGGGCCAGAATGTTTGGGTTGATTGTATTTTTTCATCAGCTGTTTTAAATGCAATGTATAATTTTCATGCATCTGCAAATGCCTACACTGACTTTTGGAATAACACTTTTGGAGAATTATGTAAGGGCAAACTAATAAAGATCTCACGTCGTCAAGTCTGGCAGGCATTTGTTCAGGAGTCTATACGAACAATAGCAGATGTATCAGATCAGACCTTGATTCTTAAAGATGGACTGTCCATTGATGAGGTAACTAGTGAGGCATTCAGTAAACTGGGAGCAAATGGAATAATTCTTCCTGCGGGTCAACACTCCTGTTCTGAGTGTACCCAAAAATACAAAAAGAAAGCTGATTTTCTCACTGGTGATGATCCTGCTGCCTTAGTTGGTAGAGATGAGAACAGAGTTGTACCTTCTCTGACTGGAGAAGGGGCAGCAGATGCTGCACAAGATGCTGCAAGAGCAAGAGAGCTTGCATCTCGTGTGCAGGAGGACTCAGATGATGAGCCTATGGATGTTGATCATGCACCTGTTAAGATGGTAGTTGTAGATGGAATTGTAATAGGACCAACTCATTGTGCATATGGTGATTGCACATCAGCACTTGGCAATGCTCGAGGAGGTGTCTTTTGTCCTGTGCATGAAACTGAATATGGAACAAAGTGTCATTGTACAAATACAAAGAAGGTTGGAACATTGGCATGCACAATTCCAGCTCATCAGGAACAGTGGTCAAAAAATGCCTATAACCGAAGTTCAAATACCTTATCTGGTGTTAGACAAATTTTAAGAAGGCCTAATGAGAGAATGCCTTGGCAATCTGGTAGAGAGCCAGATACTCAACGCCATGATGAACCTACACCTGATATTGAAAGATCTCATTACTTCAGTCCTTCACGGTTTTATTGTGTTGAGACAATCACTGCTCCTTGTGGTGTTGTTATTGCCTGGGCTAAATTTCCTAAGTCTGAATCTCCCACAAATATTCTTAACTTTCTGGAGTCAGTTTATCCTACTGCTGAATCACGTCCAGATTACATCTGTATTGATAAGGCTTGTCTACTACTACGAACAGCGATAAGCAATGGAAGCTGGGACAGAATCTGGAAACATACAACACAGTTCATTGTTGATAGTTACCACTATATTAATCACCGTGTTGGTGATTATATTTGTCGCAAATGGTGTAATCCTGCACCATTGAATGGCTCAGCCCCAAATTTAGTTGTTGTCGAAAAAGACAAACATGGTCGACCATACTACAAGCGAGCATTTAACACACAGGTAAGTTTAGATTGATGTATGGTGCAATACAAGAATTAATAAATATTAAAACAGGCCTGTGAACAGTTGAATGCCTGGTTGGGTGGTTTTGAGTCCATCCTGAAAAGGATGACACAGGGAAACTTTGATTGGTTTTTGTCCATAGCTAGCAAAACAATCTCGGTGGCATCAAAATGGGCGACCATCAGCCTCAGCCACACTGTGTATGCCTTTCGCAAGCTAGTGCAACTGGCAGCATTTCAGAGTTAGTGCCACTTACATGCAGTTTATGAACCACAGCCCTGCTGAGTCCTCACTCTGTACAATAAAGATTGTGCCCTAATTCTGTTCCCACAGGCAGAGATGAGATTTCCTCCCAAGCCTTTGCCAACCAGGCTCTCAACATTTTCACCTTCCACCACATTCTCTTGTTCCAGAGAGGGGGTTTCCCTTTCAGTTTGTCAAAAGAGGCTGTGGGGAAGAAAAATATGTCTCCAACCCCCTCAGGAGTCTGATGCAATGATAGATTCAGCCAGACAGGAAAATGACCAGGTCCCTGGGTCATACCTATCTGCAATTGAGAGAGATATATGTAGCAGCCACTTACTCCAGTTTGACTTTGAGGTCTGGCAAGTAGAGCTCTCCCTCTTTATATTGGCCACAGCTGAAAATTGTCATCAGACATCATCTATAGTGTTTCAAAGTCCAGTCTAGTCTGGTTTTTACCTCAAAATGAGGCAACTGGCAACCGGAACTGGTTCAGACCAATCCAGATATTAAGGGACCACAACCAGACCCTTTTAGACTGGTCCTAAATGGTCTACAATGCAAAAAAAACCAGTCCAGACTGGTAGTAACCAGTCTTTTGTTGAAAACTTTATTTACCACAGAAACTAAATATTACCTCATGTACATAGCATATATAGATAGATAGTTTAATTTTTCATAGACTGATTAAGAATTTAGGCAATTCTGTGAAGATTTGACTGAGATATGGCAAAAATGGATAGGATATACATTCAAATTGTGTGTGAGTAAGGTCCAACATGTGATGGGATGAAAGACTGGCAAACAGTGTGTTGAGCACACCAATCTCATCACACATGCATACTAACCTACCCACCCTTGTTTTTTTTACTTTTGCTCTAGCAAAATGGCAACATAGTGCACAGCAGAAGATGCAAAAGGAGCACCAGGACTACAGGCTTGAAGATCTTACTGGGACCAATTCTAACATGGATAAAGATCTAGAGGAAGTTGGTGATGATGAATCTTTGGAGGAAAGTGTATCAACTCCAGCCTAACCTGATCAACCATCCTCTCCAAGAAAAAGAGCCCAAGTTATAAACACCACATCTACTGACAGAACATTTCTAACCTTTGATGCTTTTGATGCACTACCCATTTATGCTCAAGATGCTAGTAAATGGAACCACCTTTCAAAGGAAAATTATGGATTTTGGGCTAAAAAATGCTAACAATGGGTAACCTAACTCAATGAAGCCTATGCTGAAAGAAACGTAAGCTCTATAATATTTTTATATATCTATTCTCAGTTTTTTAGAAACAAGATCTTAATCCCATCAAGCTGATCAGCATTATCAGAATATTGTAAATGTTCTAAGAGAGCTGTCCCAACTGCAAAAATCAGTTTATCAAATGCCTGAATAGATCCAGAGTGTCAAGGTAGAACTTATTTTTGTTTTCCCAGCTTGGTTAACCTATTTTTAGGCCTCATATCTTCCACAGAGTGTTCATCAGTGGAGTGATCCAAGAGGACTTGCCTTGTGGAAGATAGATTTTGATCACATCTCAGAAACTCTAAGTCTTGTCATACACTCCTGGATTCCTATTGAAGAAAAAAAACACCTGGGAAGAAAGCACAGTTGACTATCCTGTACTCAAAGTATGTTTTTTTCATAGAGGTGCTTTCTATATAACTCTATTTAGACTCAGCCAACCTGGAGGAAAGTGTCTACAAGAAAAGAGCTTATTAGAGCTCTTGCAACATCATTCCAAGAGATGCATATCCATCTTCAGTTTACTCATTTCTAAACCTTTATAACTTCCAATTTGCAATCAAATATTGGCTAGATTATGCGCTAGAGGCCAAACAATAGGATGTAAGTGCTATTGATTATAATTTATCATCTAAGTTATCTTCTCCAAAATTCAAAGACCAACCAACAAATTCACTGTGATGCATTGGTATATATTCAAGATATCATGCAATACCAAAACAACAACAACAATCCTATTTTGAAACTTTTATTTCAGAAAAAAGAGGACACTACACAATTTTGTAATGAGTAAAGCAGACACTACACAGTTTTCTAATGAAAAAAGCAGACACTACCCAATTTTGGAATGAATAAAGTGGACAGTACAAAGTCTTGTAATGAAAAAGTGGACACTACACAATTTTGTAATGAAAAAAGCGGACACTAAACAATTTTGAAATGAATAAAGCAGACACTACACATCTTTGTAATGAAAGAAGTGGACACTGCACAGTTTTAATGAAAAAAGCGGACACTACACAATTTTCTAAGGAATAAAGTGGACACTACACAATTCTATAATGAATAAAGCAGACACTACACAATTTTGTATTGTCATTAACAATGACCATACCATGCTAGCCATTAACTCTTCTGGCCCAAAAAGTGTGGGAAACAGTTCCCAACCTAAATGTACACTGTGCCTGACATCAGGTGTGGCATAAAAAGTGTAACACTTTTCCCAATTAGGAAATAGTGCACACATCAAAGCATATACTACACATGGGTCAAAGCTATAGGTAAATATATCAAACATCCCAATGAGGGTTTTCTGGCTACAAAATAATCGGTAAATCTCTGCATACTTCTTGAGGTCTTATCAGTGCCAGGCATAAGAAATATAGTTGGAGTCCATTCCAGTGAGGAAATATATTTTGGGGTGTGTGACACACTAGAAATATATTTAGTGTGACATTGGACAACAAAATATATTTAGGTAAAAGTGGAGATATATAAGCCCCATAATATATACAATATAGATATACACCCTGATATGTAGTCCCGTAGTATTCATGGGGTTTGCAAGACTAATAGTCAGTTGTCAGTGGGTGACTGAAGTAGGAGTGGGATCGTCAGGAAGTGAGATGTTGGCACAAAGGGGGTGTAATGTAAGTCAGTGGTTTTTTGGGAAGCTGGATTCAGTATAGTCCCTTTTGGGTAGCCAAGAACACCTCGGCTGCTGGCTGCAATGGTAATGAGAGTTTCGAAGGTATCAGAGTTTGTACCGTCAAATTTCTCTGTCTCCAAGGGCATAGATGGGTTGGCAGTTGACGACATTTTTGTGGGAGTGTGTGGGGTACAAAGATATAGGCTTTACAAGTCACAAGTGGGGTAGTAAAGCAAGTAGCAAAATGGTGTCTGTAGTTCCTGTTATTAAAGTGCAGCTGGGCCCATAACCTGTAGACATATGGAACTCAGAGTCAGACACAAGGTGATCATGACTGTGTATTAGTTTAGCCACCTGTAAATGTATGGAACTGGGGTAAACAGGTTGTGAGTCTCAGATGAATAAGTGTAAGTAGAAAGGATCTCACCTCAGAGTCAGACACAAGGTGATGATGACTAAGGTGAGGAGAAATAAAGTTTGTGTATATACACAAAGCAGTGGCTTGGAGTAAAGACTAGCAAACAGCAGGTGAAAGAAAAGGAGGAAAGAGACATGATCAAGGATACAAACAATGCATATGCATAAATACAGAGGTCACAAGGGGTCTCCTCTAACATTAATGGTAAGACAAGTATTCAATGAGTTTGATTTGATGTGTTGCCACATCATCTGCTGTGATGATGGCAAATGTTTCATTGTAAAATATAATAAGATGGAGTATGTCATGGTTGGTGTAAGTTGCAATGTCCACCATGAAGTTCATAGGTAGGTCCCCAACAGCTGGGGGCAGTGAATCTTCCCCTGTCAGTGTTAGACACAAAGCCCCTGGCAAGATCCTGACCACTTCCTGGGATCTGAATGGATGGCTCAGATACATTATTGCATGTAAAAATGAGTTGAAATTGCCAGTTTCATGTGTTTGAGAATTGGCTCAAATCCATGGTGTCTCTAAATCTGTTATTTGTACAGTCACGCACAAGGCATTGGGACCCATATTCTTCATTGTGCACATCACACAATGAGGCACCATGAGAATTTGAAAGATCATTTACACAATCATCAATTGCACAATGCTATAAATGTCAAGTTAGTAATTATTATAGTCAGAATAACTTTTAAATGATTCACCATTGGTCCTATAACAACTCCATCAAGTACAACTATTGTAACATTTCTTTTGCCAACATCCATATTATCATCAGAGTTATCCTGAGAGGTAGGAGAAGCTGGGTGTGGTTGTGGTGGAACTCTGTTATCTTCTGCCAAGGGTGGTACAGCTTGATTTTCATTAACTCCCACTACAGCTGCAGGATCATTCATAACAGCATTACTAGCTTTTTTATATGGCTGACTACATGTATGCCAGTGGGTTTAATTTAAGCCCAAGACAATGGGGATTGATTGAGAAGTAAAGGACATACTGTGCAAGATGTCCTCCCCCTGCCAGCTAAAATTCCACCCAGCAAAAAAACAGCATAAGCACAGCCTCTCGTCTTCGACACTGCAGTTTTGGCATGTCTATGAGTTCAACTTGAGCTCAAGATAATGAGTATTATGGTACTTACCAGCATGCAAACCATCCAGTGTATACAGTTGTGACCAGCACACTGTGTTATGCTCAATGTGATAGTCCACTCACAAGCAAATGCAAATAAGCACATTGCATTGATTACTGTCACTGCTGTCCATGTGCTGCAACCTTCGACTTCTTGCTCAGGGCTGCACTACTTTCTCTCTGTGAAAGCTCTATTTATACTGTCAACAAAGCTATGCCGGAAGCAAAGGAGGCTCTTCCAAGTGGCAAGCAAAGTCAACATTACATTGAGAATACCATGCCTGCCCAGCGACAACTGAAGAACTTCTGGATTGACTCATTGGAGGCTGAAGCTAAGGCATCTGCACCCAGCCCTCTGGCATCTCTAGGACATGTTCACATCCTTGAATCCTCATCATCTCATCCCCGTGGTCAATGTGGTGCCCATACTGGGATATTCCCAGCTACTGCTTGTGTTAATGACAGTCCCATCTCATCTCATGGCCTGGTCCTTGCAAAGGCGGAGCTATCCCTTCAAAACATCATCCTATGTTTTGAATACCAAGATCCCGACAATGCAAAGGCTAGGGATGTAACATATCTTATATCATCATGAATTCTGCTCCATTTCATGCAATTTTAAGCTTGTTGGAAGCACGCAAATTAGAGCTTAAGAACAGTCTAAGAGCCCTAATATTTTGATGTTTACAATGACCTCTGATAACATTTACCGTTTTTGTGCCAATTCTTCACCAGTAATTGGTCCATAGCCCTGTGAGTTTTGAACTAAATTCAATGTATATAGATGCATTGGAACCAAATTAAATGCCACCTTCTAGTGCAAAAAGAACAGAAAAAAGGAATATGTTTTGCAAAAGATACTTCATCCTCTTCGTTGTTGCAGTTTTTGTAGGTCAACCAATATCTGGACTATGGTGTATTTTCTTCTCATTCCAGTCTTATTTTGATCATGATGATTCATATACGAGAAGGAATGTTCTTTTTATTGAAATCTACTATACCAGTAGTTTCAGGTTATCTCAGGACAGTTCAAATTGCCCTTGTGTTTCCCCAGAACATCCTGTGATGTCTTGTAACACCCTGGGGAAAAGCTTACAAACATGTTTGTCCCAGGAAAAAAGTGATTTTCCTGATGCCCCATACTGCCATTTTCAGAAATCATCTCCCAGCCTTGATGGAGCCTGTAAATCTGACCAGGACCTCAACCACAAACAAGCAGGCTGATCACAGTCAGCACAACTAAAACCAGTATGGACAAGTGGGGATACATGACTGGGCTCTGTATGTCTGACACTGAATTAGACAACTTCCTGAATGTCAGCCATGTATGGCAGGCTCTGTTGGGTGTCTGATCTCTTGGGAAGTCATTACAAGCCCTGCTCCACAAACTGCCAGACAAGAAACTCCAAGATCGAAACAGGAGGATAGCAGTGAGGGGGCAGAGGCGACAAAGGGCAGCATGGAGACTCTTCAGTAAGGTGGCACTGCTGATGTTGAAGGAAATTGGGGTAACCCTGGGATGGCCTGGGGCAGGGGAGCTGTCTGATGATGGAGGACAGTGCTGAATGTCAGAAAGATCTCATCATACTGCTAATGAGCTGCTTACCAGAACTCTGGCAGGTAGTGAGTGTTGGGGCTTATTGTCCAGCATGCACTGCATGGCCAATTTGCAGGTGCCTTTTCTAATGGGTTGCTGTTGGTATGGCGAATGGTCAGTCTCTAAATTCAATATCAATAGGCTCTGGCAGCTGTTGCAGAGGGCAGCTGTACCATCTTCACTGCAAGTCTTCATATTTGGGGGGGAGAGTGAGGTGCACCTGCAGTCTGTTATCCTCAGGTAATCAGCCATCTCTTTCACCCCTAAATCATTGGTGTTGTGGGAAGGCATCTCCCTCAGATGCCAAAATGTGGTGATGTATGCAGATTGGCAAGTTCTTCCTGCTTTCTCAGATTCATGCAAGAACCTGAAGATGTTTTGAGGCACTGAGTAGTGAATCTCTAATTTCAAATTAACGTCCTCATGGCTGAAGTCCACTCCCATGCCACTGACCATTGCCAGTGCCTTCATGTCCCCTTCCTGCCAGGATTTCACCTCAGATTCCATAGCATCCTCATTCCCATCTGCAGGATAGGTGAGGCATGGAAGTGCACCCACAAATTCCTTGGCAACCATCTCAGAAGAGCAAAATACAACTGCCCTGTCCTGTGTTTAAAAATTGCCCAAGGCCTGCTGACTGTGGTTGAGGACAGTGAGTGGTTGGTCCTTGGTGAGGATAAAAATGGCCTCCTCCACATGACAGTTGGCAGGGCCCAATACTATGCTTTAGCATTGATCAAGGAGCTTTTTTTGAATTTGCCTTTGTCAATGACTGTGGGGATACTCTATGATATTGGTTGTCAGTTGGAGAGAAGGTGCAGGATATAGGGTTTTCTGGAGGAATTTATAGCATGCATTATTTTTGCACTTGCAGTGTTTCATGCATATGGTCACCAGTGGCCATGCCAACTAATCTACCACCCCCGTAAATGTGAAGGTTTTGGACTCTCTGATGGAGAGGGCTGTGAATGCTTCTGGAGTTCCATAAAGTTAATAATTCCATCAATGTGTGTGGCAGGGGTAAGCTGTCATGTGTCATCCTTGAAAAAAAATTTAATGATTGTCTAAAATAGTTCTACCATCATCTGTTCACAATTGATACTCAGGTGAAACACCTAGAGAAAAAGTCATTCAAGGTGATGGAAAAATGGCTTCAACATAAATGGCTGCATTGCCTAGAAAAGAAGATTGGGGCTGAGTAAATTCTCCAAGAACTTGGTCTAGAAATGCCTCTTCTTGAGAAAGAATGGAAAGACCAGGTTATGGCACAGACTAAGCCCTTGGCAAGACAGTCAAAGAATATTGCAAATAATGCTGTCAAAGAGATAATGGTTTTGTATACTGCAAGGAATGCATTTGCAGGTGACTTGGGAGAGCTTGATCAAAAGCTAATTTCTGGTGACTATGGAGATGATATGTTGGTGGAAGATGTCCTGTCAGCATGTCTGGCTGTAGCAAAGAAGCAAAAGGCTATAGAGGATACCATTAAAACAAAGAAGAAAAAGCTTGGTGTGAGGGATCAAGCAAATTTGAGGGATCTGATTGGCAATAAATTTCTTCAGTTAATACTCAATGCCAGAGCCCTCAAGCAAAGGCTTAGAGATTAAGTGTGCAATCAAAAGTTTGAGTTGGAGAGATTAGAAAGAGCATATCAAAATATAACTTCCAATGGTAAGCTCTTATTTAGGGTAAAATTATAGTGGCTGGCTAATATCTACTTTGATAGAGATGAAATTGCATTCACATGTGCAGAAACAGTTATGGTAGAGGTATATTGAAAGTTTTGAATGGTATGATGATTGATGTGGTATGGTTCCTTTCATTTGGTATAGTATGATGGTATGATTCCATATTCCATTTCCACGGTATGGTATGATTGATGGTATGATCACAAGTCAATCATATGGTATGAATAGTATGATGTATGGTATGATTCCATTTGTATGGTATAATCCCATCTCTATGGTATTATTGCAATGGTCTGGTATGGTGGCTGTCCATTCAATCTGCATGTGATTATTTTCATTGTTCTCCAAACTGTGGGAGGTCTCCAACAGCCCTCCTTTGTTGATCGTGCAATTGTTGTATAACTGCATATGCACATGTTGACTGAGAAATGACTGCATGGCTGTCCATTCAATCTGCATGTGATTATTTACATTGTTATCCAACATGAGTATAAGTCAAGTTGGCAAGTGGTCAGTGACATTATCATCGTCAATGTCACCCTATTGAAAAAATTGATCACAGAGAAGGTCATTGGTTAACAAGCTTGCCTAGAGAGGTAATTTTGGCTAAAGTTGATCCCTTGGCAAACAATGAAGTCTTGCATTATTGTTGACTGAAATTAATTGGTCTGTAAAGACATAAGATTTCAAGTGGCTTGTGATAGATTATTTCAGGTTTAGAGTGGATGGCTAAAACCTGGGATAATGCCTAATGAAGCTGATTGTTTGGATCATGTTCAACCTATAGTCTCCATTTGTAGCTGAAAATTTCAGAAGAAATGGGAAGAACCAGCCCACAAAAAATGGAGCCCAATGGACCAGAATTGCAGCCAGCAGAAATATTTTTCATATTTTGAAAAAAAGACCCCAGAGACCCTGTGACAGCTTTGGAATGATGGTATGGTATGGTATGAAATGGTATGCTATGTGGCTTGCATACCATGGTATGATGGAATTGGTATAAGGGTCATACCACTCTGGAATGGGGTACCATTAAGGTTCCCTATTTCAAAGAATTGGATGACCTCATAGGTACCCAAAAATGGGTGACTGAAGTGGATTGATAGGATTGGATGTTATGGTGAAGAATCCCCTGACAGTGATGAAGACTCAGAGGAAGGTGGTGAGTGGCAGTCAAGTTGCACTGTTGTTGTGATTGTACTGAAATTTCACCAAGTTCCGCATCACAAAAGTGTGACCCTGCCAAAGGGTGCTTGTTTGTCCCAGCTGTTTCTTGAACATAGCTTGTTGAATTTGAAGAAACAGCTGATCATGAGCCTAACATGGTACTCAGATGTGAGGTCTTTACCTTCCCCAGGTTATTCCATATGGAATCCATGGAACAATGTTGGCTGAGGACACAGCCAGTTTCTTATTCCATGGACATCATGGATTCCATATGGACTCCAACACCACTCCCTATGGATTCCATTGGATTCCATGGAGCAGTCCATATGGATTCGATGGAAGGATATTATACCATTAGAATACATATAAATATAGTATAGTATTGATAGTGTCCTTACTATATTTAAGTAGTAAAAAAAAATGGCATGCAAGGGAATTGAACTCTCGACATCATCAATATAAGCAGCGCTAAAGCCACCTGAGCCATGAAGGCTTTACAATATGGTAAATGAAAGGTAGGTATATACCGCCTTGAGGCATGTGGCGTCTTAAGTGTGACAGCTGCAGTGTTGCCACGTCGTTCTTTCCTTCCCACCACCACCACCATGTCTCAAACCACGACCGCCCACCATGTCAATGACGATGACACTAACAATGCACGATGACATGCACCACCATCATCAACAATGCACAACAACCACACCCCTATAAAACCACCACAAGCACCACAACACCAGACAATGATGTGGCAACGCCATGTCACATGAACGGCACAAGATGGGTGGGAATGACGATGAGCGGGACATCCATTGACGTTCTGCCTTGTCCAGGTAAGCAAACACATCAATGCCTCCCACTCCCTCTTTTGACGACAAAACAGGTGCCACAGTGCAGTCAGAATAAACCGGGGAGGGTAAAGTACTGTCAGATGCTTGTATATATGATGTACTTTATGAAGAGAGCTGTAACCAGAACTGTGGAAGTGGAGCTCCACCTTGTGCCAAAGTATCAGGCTTCAGAGGTGACAATAATACTTCAATTTTGGTAGTACAAATGGCAGAAATGTACAGAGAAGGTACAGTGGCACACAAGCAACTTATGTGTTCCATGATGAAACTCAAAATTCAATGGTACATATATGCATGTTTTACAATCAAGCTCATCTAGTATTGCTCAACTTGGTGTGTTTGATGATACTACCATCTGGCTATGAAACAAAAAGACAAGAGTTCAATTAAAACATAAGTCACCAGATGAGATGGAGAGGGTGGTAATAGGATTTCCTCCAGGATGCCCTCACAGATGTTTGGGGCTGTAAGTCTGTTTGACAAACAAAAAACAAAAAACTGATCCAAGATGTTCTTCACAATGGTGGCGATGTGCCATGTCCTGCATATGGATAAAAAAGGAAATTTGCCTTATTTGGTAAGGCATAGTAAGATTCTTTTCCTCCACTAGGACCATTCTACTATATAAGGAGATAAGCTGACAAATAATCTCCTTATATGGTTACCTCCTTGCCTCAGATGTTCACTTTATAACACTCTCCATGTCCCTTAGTCTGGGTGTGTCCATTTCAAAATATGAAAAGCAGGGATTCAACTTTTTGCTAATAAAACTGCCTTATTTGTGCACATTGTAATTACTACCTCAATTGTTATTAGCTTTCAGTAAAAAATAGCCCTGTAGCTATTATACTTCCCCCATGTCCCTATTAGTTTGCACCCACTACCATGCAAGCACAAAAATTTACTGCTCTACATGGTGGATGGTCATTTGACTCTCTGGCAGCCTTACAAAGGTCAAATACAAATGGGACACTTCCCTGGTAGATTACCTTAATTGTGGCATACTCTCTGATCTCTTTTATGCACTTGCATATCAAGACAAACAGCATGGGCAGACATCCACCTCCATTTTCATTCCTCTAGGACCTCAACAGGGTAACACACAGATCCCATTATAGGAAGAAATAGATGAGGACTTGGAGAAAACTTTCTGTACTCTTCTGCTCATATCTGTGAATAGATGAAACTATCTATATATATCATCTGCATCATTTCTGTCCATTGAAATACCTCATAAACCCATTAAGGGAATAGCTGTATTTGATGGCTGGGTTGATGACTGTGGCCATGCACTGAGAAACAAGCATGCATTTTAGAAGAGGACATCTGCCCTTACAGAGTGCTCAGTCCAAACCTTCTCAGAGACCTTTGCACAATTCTTCCTTGTCTGCTCTACTCAGAAGGCAGAAGTGGAACCAGAACAGATAGCTTGTGCACCTATGGACCTTCTCTGCTCAGAAAAATCTTTAGTGCTATCTCAGATTCCATCACTCATAATCTGCTAATCGTCATATGATCCTCCCTATTTTCTTTGATTCAGGAATAGAAACTTAGCTTGGGCAATTCAATCAGTCTACCCTGCACTCTCCATTGCATCAATGCTCTGCAGCAGGGAAAAGATCCACACCAAAACCTTATACAAAATTGGCAAAGGCCAATCTCATTCTCATTTGGGAAGATATGAAAGCTCTGAGTGTTAGTCACCATTCGATCCACCATGCAATTACGAATGCTACAAAGTGAGTTACTTGCAGGATACCATTTCTATGACCTCCAACTGCCAACTAACGAATATCCAGAGGTCAAGCACTTTGAAAGCCATTAAAGCCACTTACCTATGTAAGAAGTGTAATGGCCTACCTGAGGGAAGAGCTCTCACTTATTTAGAGCCTCTTTATGTTTTTTCCACCACTCATCAAGCCAAAGGGCTCACATATTTCAGGAGAGGATGCTTTGGAAGCCTTGCAAAGTGTGGATCATGCCCTCCATTTACCACAGGAATACATTAGCGAATTCACCAGATGAGGATGGGGAAGAGGAAGATATGGTTGGGATTTTGACAGGAAAGAGAAAACGATGATGAGTAGAAGCTTAAAGACAAACTACATAGTAATTTTCAAATGAAGGTTCTTGTACAAATCCTTTTGGGTGCCTGCATGCTATCATCATCTTGGTTCACAGAAGAATCTCTTTGACACTTCGGATTTGTCAAGAGCTTCATTGAGAAGTCAGGTCACAGCATAGTACTCACAAGGACCATGCTCAAATGAAGATCAGGCTTCTTGATAATGGGGACAAGGTCCTTGGCACCAGAATCTGGCTCAGTTGCAGAATCGGCGGCTGGCATAGCTGGTTCGGCAATGATGAGGTCTTATTAGTGCCCCCCTAATTCCTGCAGGAATCCAGTCATTCCTGTGGATTCTAGTGGATTCCGGGGGAATAAAATTTGGCAGGTAGGCCTGCTATTTTTTTCATTCCAGTGCCTTATCGTTCCAGCAGAGTTTGGGCATTCCAGAATTGATACTGGAATGTTCCGCGGAATTCGCAGGAACAGAACGCAACACAATGGAATACAACAAATTTGTTTGGATGTATCATTTGTTTATTTCACTTGCCTTACCAAACAAAGCCAATGTTCATTCCTTCCCATCCCCCACCATCGCCTTTCTCCTCTGCCACCTTCTGACCGCCCATCTAGGATGATGACAATGACAACCATGATGACGGTACATGACCCGTTAACGGCTATGTAACAATGAGACGACCAGGCAAGTACGTTGTGGCAATGAGGCAAAGTGAAGGCATGGCAGAGAGATGATGATGAACACTTTATATTCTTGTCATAGAGTTTGTTTGTTCACAATAATCTTTTTTAGCACTGTGCATATGATAATTGCACAAATGACCTTTCTAACTCTCATGGGGGATCTTCATGTGATATACATCACATACAGCTTGCTTCTAAATGCTTAGTCTGTGATTGTAATAACAGGAGAGTAGAAAGAACACTTGCATGCCAACAGCATGAACCACAGTGGCGTAAACATGCAAAGAACAGCAAACACCACAACCAAGCTGGAGTCCGTCAGATATTACAACGCCCTGGGGAGAATAACCCTTGGGAGCCAAATTGTAGAGGACCAAATCTCCAACATGATGATCCAAATGCAGAACCATGAGAACCCCCCAATTACTTTTGTGCAGGTAGATTCTATTGTGTTGAAACTTTTTGTGCACCTTGTGGTGTTGTCATTGCTTGGACAAAGTTTGATAAGTCAGAATCACCTACAAATATTTTGAACTGGCTAGGAAAGATTTATCCAACAGAAGAATCAAGGCCTGATTATATCTGTATTCATAAAGGCTGTCAAGTACTTGCCACTGCAGTAGCAAATGGAAGTTGGGAGATTTGGAAAAAAACTACTTGATTTATTGTGGATGCCTACCACTACATCAATCACCGAGTAGCAGACTTCCTATGCTGGAAATATTGTAATCCTTCACCTGGTGATGGATCTGCTCCAAATCTGGTAGTCATAGCACATGATAAGAATGGAAGGCCATATGTAAAGTGGGCATTCAATACACAGGTATTTATTCATGTATATTTCTGAGCTTGATACTAAAAATATTTTAGGTTTGTGAACAACTCAATGCATGGCTTGGTGGCTATCAATCAATTCTCAAACATATGACACCAGGCAATTTTAACTGGTTTATACACACCATGTTATTCTACCACACAAAGTATGTTCTCCACAAACAGCAGATGAAGAAACCAGAAGAAGGTGAGGAGGATAACTTGGGTTTAGATGAAGATGTCCAGGATGATGAGGATAACTAAATGACAGCAAAGGGAAGTATAAAGAAGTATATATTAGTGTAATAGAAGTGTGCAGAAGTGTATATTAGTGTAAGATAAGTAGGCAGAAGTGTATATTAGTGTAAATTCACCAGATTCCAGTTCCATTTCTGTGGATTCCTGCGGATTCTGGTCCCATTCCTGTGGATTCCTGCAGGAATGGGTGGGGCACTATAAAGTACTGGCAATGACAGTCAAATCCTCAGCTCTGGAATCAGGCTCATTTTCTGTACTTTACCCTCCCCAGCTTAATCCATATGGAATGCATGGAAGAGGGGGTGGATTCCAGAAATTCCAGATGGACTCCATGGATAGGCTAATGGACTCCATACTTTCTGGGGATGGACTCCAGGGATAGGCTGATGGACTCCATATTTCCTGGGGATGGACTCCATACTTCCTGGGATGGATTCCATATGGAGTCCATACTTTCTGGGGATGGACTCCATACTTTTGGGGGATGGACTCCATATTTTTTGGGGATGGATTCCATGGAATGGATGATGGATTTCATACTTTATACATACTTCCTGGGATGGATTCCATACTTTATACACATGGATTTCATCTTTCTTCTACATTTTACAGATGGATTCCACATGGAATAAGTTCATGCAATCATAATTCTACACTTATCTCATATTAATTTCACACTTAAAATAGCTTGGTATCTGAATTGATTGACATAGTACAAAAATTTGAGCTTGTATCTACTAGAATCACATGACATTATCATTATCATCACCATCTTCATCATCACTATCATCACCATTGCTGTTATCTCCTCTTTTCTCCTTTTCTTCCCTCTTTTTTATCTTTTCAAGAACATGTCAGGTATGATAAAATAACATTGCATGCAAAAACCAATTGAAATTGTCAACGGTCATCCTTTTCAAGATAGAATCAAACGCTCCAATCCACCCACTCAATTGTTTGCATGCTTGAGTATTGAATCCTCGTTTCAAATATTTTTCCCCATCTTTTGTCTCTGCTTCAACAACCAAATTAGGTGCTGATCCATCAAGAGGAGCAGGGTTGCAATATTTTTGGCAGATCATATCTGTAGTGCAATGGTTGATGTAATGATATGCGTCAACTATAAGTCGGCTAGTCTTGCACCATTCCTCCCAGCTTCCATTTTGAATGCTTGTTCTAAGAACCAGACATGCCTTATCAATGCATATATAGTCTGGTCTTGTACCATCTTGATTCTCTTCAACACCAAGGACAGCTGCTGCATCATTGGGAGCAGGTAGAAAATCTGCAACTGCCTTGCATTCTTGAGTACACTCAGAGCAGGTGTGTTTATCAGAAAGCCTCATAGCACCACCTTCACCCAGAATAGCAAATGCATCATGAGTGAAATCATCAATTGATGGATTATCATTTGTTTCGAACATGACTCCTGATGCTTGAGCAATGGTATGAACAGTTTCATGAAGAAATGCCTGCCAGATTTGACGCCTTTCAATTTTGAGTGACTCTTGCTTTCCATAGCTGTTGGTCCAAAATTCAGCATAAGCAGAAACTGATGCATGAAAGCTGTATGTTCCGTTAACAACAGCATTTGAAAAACACTGGTCAACATATAGAGATTTTCCAAGTTTCAAATATTTTGCATCATTAAGGTATACCCACTTCCAAGGACCTCCAACTTGAGGATAGTTTTCATGATCAGCAAAATAGTGAGTTTTGCAATTAGAACATTTTCCACTCAGCATGGCAACATCTTTAAAGATTTCAGAACCTTTAACCAGAGTTGTCATGGCAAGTTCTTGAACATCAGATTGTTGCAAAATAGCACGTCCTCGACATTTATTATCAGAACAAGCATTTGATGGTGGGCAAATTATCATGATTGGCTGAATTTCTTTTTTTGAAATTGGCTGGAGTCTTTGTATTAGCCTTCCATCACTCCCAAAGGAATTGAGACCCAATAATTCAGCAAAGTCATTAAGCTTTGTTCCAACCCTGGTTATAACTTGACTTTCAGGAATTAAAGTCAGATTCTCTGACTGTTTAAACAAAGTTTTGAATTTTGGTTTTGGGGTCTTCCTTTCAACTTGACGAGCCAGTGATCTTATCCATGAGCTCAAATTCACCCATTTTTCATCTGAAAGTTGGGGATTTTGCTGGCGTTGATGCAGATTCAATAAATCTGTATTTTCAGTTATTGTAAAGAACAGCCAGTGGAATAGGCTCTCTGCTCACTTGTTGATGCAGAAAGCAAGGGGATGGCTGCTAACTGAAGAGGGCATTCAGCCAGATCACCTGGCAACTAGTTTATATGAGGATATTAAATGTGGGTCTCCCAAGCCACCTCTTAACTGGCCCAGTGATCATTCAGAGTATCAGCAATTTGCGAAAGGTCAATTGATAATAAGGACAGCCATTTCAAGGAAGCACTCACACTGAGATTCGCTGGTGAATCTACTATGCACAACTGTAAACAGTGCTACAGTCAAGTCACTTTCCATTCATGGCTTTTTGATAGTGCCACTTGCAAGGTTGGCTGCTGCATTGCCAAAGTCCTGGGTGACTAAAGTTCATACCTTATGCTACTGGTATGCAAAACATCAGCCTATGGACTGAGTGGCAAGGGTCAAAGACTAACCCAAGTCACATTGCACCTTATCATGGTGAACTTCCCAGGGAGTGACAGGTCACCATCATGGCAGGTTCTTGTCATTCTTGCATCAAAATCTGGGGCTGCTCATGGCCAATGTTGTCAAATATCTTGGGACAAGGGTGCTAAAGATCTTGGGACCCTCAACCCAAGATCTTGAGCCTCAGGTGAAAGATCAGCACTCAAGGCTGCTAACTGGCATCAAATTGTAAAAATAGGATCTTGCAGTATCATCCATCTTCAGCATCTGACGGTACTTTACAGTGCCCCACCCATTCCTGCACCACCAGAGTCCACAGGAATTGGACCAGAATCCACAGGAATCCACCAGAATGGGACCAGAATAGAACTGGAATCAAAGATCCAACATACATTTACACCAATACACACTTCTGCATACTTATTGAGGTCTTATCAGTGCCAGATATATTTGGAGTCCATTCCAGTGAGGAAATATATTTTGGGGTGTGTGACACACTAGAAATATATTTAGTGTGACATTGGACAACAAAATATATTTAGGTAAAAGTGGAGATATACAAGCCCCAGAATATATACAATATAGATATACACCCTGACATTTAGTCCCGTAGTATTCATAGAGTTTGCAAGACTAATAGTCAGTTGTCAGTGGGTGACTGAAGTGGTGGTAGAGTAGAAAGTTGTGATGGAAAGGGTGAAGTGATGGTGATTACTCATGCATCACATCACATCCTCGGAACTGGGAGAGTGCAGCTCCCTAACCTACATGAACATTACATAACAAATCATAGTGGCAACCATGATATCCTCTGCATGAACACTCTTAATTGGAGTACTCACTGACAAGATTTGTTCTTACACAGAGCACAAAGAACTCATCACATTGGCATCAACATGTAAATCAGTCTGTGTGTCAGCCTTGGACATGCTATGGAGAGACATTACAACATTGAGGCACTTTTTCCTGATCATTCCAGGATGCACTGGATGTGACCAAAAACTGGTAAGTACTGAGAATGGATTTTTGTCTTTATTTCTCTAACAAAGGGAATAGTACCTGCCTTCCAACCCAGACTGGTCCAAGTTCAATCAGGTGGCAGGGAGGGTCAAAACGCTCAACATCAGGGAGAATTTTTATAGTCCAAACAATGCACAATCAGACTTGTCTGCCTACAAAGCTTTCGCAAAGACGTTTGGAGGCTCACCTCTGCTACCGCAGCTGCACTGTCTTACATATACCACACTCAGTACTGAGCAAGATGTATCTGCAGAGTTGGAGAGCCTGATAACAGGGTGCTTGAACAAAATGGAGTTCAAAGCTGAAGAAACGCTCAGCGATATGATTCTGGAGCGTTTGGAGTCAACTTGTACCGAGATAAAGGTACTCAGATGGAATAGGCCATGGTGTTCACCATATCTGCCACATGCTCTGTCAAGACTTCCATCTCTGGGCAGATTGGAGTTGATTCGGATCATCCTTGGCAGCGAAAGCATTGGCATTCTCTCGACCTTGTCCTCACTTTCTCATCTCAGTATCATTTTCTTCACCAACAAGTATCAAAGCATCAAGTCTTACAAAAGTACCAACCAGATTCTCCCCAATCTGGAAACTCTGGAGATCTACAGAGAACTGGGGGATGTTTCCCACTTCATTTCTTACTTGAATGTGATGTGTTTGATCTCCCTGGGGGTTACCATCCCGTGGGTGACACCAAGGGGCTCATACCCATGGTCATCCATCGGCAATGCCATTTCCTCGTTAAAGACACTCTCCCTTATGGCTTGTGGCTCAGATGACCAAGACCATGTTGACATTGAAAGGTTGTTGGAGCCTTTTGGCAGTGCCACCACAATCACCAAGCTGTCAATGAGGTTTATTTGCTGGATGGAGGGAAACACACTTGACACACATCTTTCAAAACTCTTGACCAACTATCCACTTTTGGAGAGCCTGGAAATCATGTTCCAAGTGGAGTACTCTAATTATCAGGATATGGTGTCGCTGAAAGTGGTGTGCAATGCAGTGAAAAGTTGCCCCAAGCTGAGGAGGATCAGATTCATCGGCAACATCAACCCGACCCTTCTAGATGGTCTTGTAATGGATTCGTTCGCGAACCTGGAGGAACTGGATTTGGGCAAATCGAGGGCAATGGATGAGCATGGCAGACAGGTGGAGTTGGATAGAGAAATGTTGGAAATTGTTGTTCAGAGGCTTGTGCCAGGTTTGTTGATGGATTAGATAAATACCATATCCGCATCTCATACAAAGATCAGAGAGTTATGTTGTATATGGCCCTTCTGTAACGATGGGCATCATCTCTTTGACATACTCGCCATCTGGTGTGATCATACTGGGCGTTGGAGTGCAGATGGGCTCATCCTCAGGTCCATGTGGCTATAACAGAGTGTGGTCAAGCTTGAAAATTCGTTGCATGAATGCAATGGATAGGCATCTAATGACATCTTTCTGCATAATGGTTTGTTCATAGTGCCTTGATTCACTTATTAAATGGTGTTTGGTGCTTAATGCACAGGGACACTGGCAATGACTGTCGACGAGCTCAATTATTAAATGAGGCCATTACTGGGACAGACATGACAATGCTTGATGCATTGAAACTGACGTCTAGGCATGCTGAGGACTGCAACAGTCAACAAATTATTTCCTTGTCGCAGCAGTCCCTTACTTGTGAGGGTCGAGTTGAAGCTTGTGAACAACTTGTGAATGTGATAAAAGTAGAATGCTAACAATGCTATTGTCATCACGTTTTCTCAAATTGATTGAATTACAGGAATGACAATGTCACCAAAATGGCTTTTCTGGAATGAGCAGAAATTCCGTTGTCTACAAGGGTACGCCATTACTTTGGCCCTGCCTTTACTGAGTAACCTTTGCAAACAACCAAATGATGGGAAGGTGGACACGCCAATAAAGGAAATGAAACTGTTCCATCAAATATTCATTCAAAGTGAGTGGTCAAGTTGAGTCCTCCACAAGTAGACAGCAAAGAGAGTTTCGGATACATCTATGTATGTATTCCTTACTCAAAATGTCTCAAGCAGGTGAAGGGGGGAGGGGGGGTCATTGTAGAAGTGAACAAGATTGTGGTCATGTCGCATGTGCAGATACGATCACATGGTTTATCAACAATATCATGTGGCTGAATGGAACGCACACCTTTGGCACAGCAATTTTGCTAATTCTACATTGTAGAATGTGCCTGGTGTACAGGTGCTGCAAAAAATTCAGGAAATGCTTTCCCCAGACTCCATCCCCCATCTGCCCACTCTCAATAGCAGAAATCACCAGGGAAATTTGTTCCTTCCTGGGTGGCAATGAGCTATTCGCTTTGGCTTTGACATCAAAATCTGTCAGTGAACTGGCACTGGATATCATGTGGTCAAACATGAAGACAATGAGGAATCTCTTAATGCTTTTTTGCCTTCCCATCTGCTACAAGCAGCCAACTGGACAAGCTTTAAGCGGATGGCAGTCTGGATACAGAGTCTTGATATGATGGGAAATGATGCAAGGCCCCACTCTTTGGCATACAACATGATGGCAGCAGATGCACCTTTTCTCCCTGGACTTCAGCGTCTTGTGTATGGGGGGGTACCGCAATTCGATGGAGATGTGGCAATGGAGCTCTTAACGCTGCTTACACCATCTGTTGTCAATAGGGGAGCTCACAATAGGACACTTATTCACACATCGGTAAGCGGTTGGTAATGTCTGTGACTTTCTAATTTGGGTATTGCTGTGAGAAAAAGTTCTTTGCTTGTCAATAATCTGTCGTTTACTCATTCAAATCTGTCTATTTCTTTGCTTCCTTCCTTCACTATGCCTTGTGAAAATTATCACGAATGTCTCAGGCAAAGTTTTCTCAAATCTCAGGCTATCCGGGACCTTATTACCCTACCAAGTGATAACATATATGAAATAGATAGTTTATACTTAGACCAATGAGTGCAGTTTGGATGGATATGGGTATAAATAGTACAGGATTAATGTATTGGCACAGAACACAGGAAGGGGGGTAAAAAGAAAGGATGGGAAGGCCCAAAATGCGCTATGTTGCGCTTTGTCATGCTGTGTCACAATGGTCACTCCCATCAAGAACTGTGACCAAGTGTAACTGCTTACCTGGATATGCGGATAAGCAGCCTATCGTGAGCTCCCCTAATTTTTCAGTAGGAGCTGCAGACTCAATGTGGTGTTGCACAATCCTCGGTAAGTGTGATGACCAGTGACATGCCGTGACATGGTGTCACAGGCCCAATATCTTGAGACATTGAGTTTGTACTTTCCACAGCACCTATTCAATATATTTTTTGCAATGGGTTTGATTGAATTAAGTGAATGAATCCACTGGGAGAGTTTTCCCTGGAGAAATTGCATTTATTGCTCCAAAAATGCGAAATCAGTCTGTTTTCCCTGCCAAATGAGGCAGTCTGAAGAGATTGGACTATAACTTTTCAACAACAGCACGTATGAACATGATTTGCAGACGGATTTTACTTAGAATTCAAATTCCAATCGATCTACGGATCCAGAATTTTTATTTGTGGCACCTGTGCCGAGATACCCTTGAAAATCAGCACTTTTACATGGTTAAAGGCTAGTAATTAAAAATATGGACCCGTAGGATTGTAGCCACATAGTAATCGATGATTTCGTCTCTGCAAACCTAAGCACAAATCCTATCTGTTGTGAAGCTAATAGCTCGAGGAGGCAACCTTGGGCCAATAGGTGCTGCACAGCCACTGATCCAATTCCAGAATGGGTTTGCACAACATGTGGCATCTGCATGGCACCCTCATGCATGCAAGAATGTTGCTGGATTTCTTGGAGACAGCTTCTTTACACTTGACCACCACCTCAACAGCCTGTAGACCCAAAACACCCCCATTTTTTTGTGCTTTTGCCTGCTTTTTTCCATCAAAAAGCATCCAAGTCCATACTACAAGTGAGGGTTTGTGCTTGAGCTTCAGAAATACATATACATCTTATTATTGTTTTGCATCTAGGATCTATTCAGTAATTGAACATCTGCTTTAGGTATAGATATAGGCAGATCATTCAATTCAAGCATATAACTATATATTTTTGCAGGTATTGTTAGAACTTAGTACCACCCTTGTCACCTCTCTCTTCCCCTGGGTTTCATTTTTTGCTTGTCTCTCTTTCTCTGTGGTTGTTCTCTCAGTTATTCTCATCTCTAGTACTACTCTTGTCAGGAGATTCCTTGCCTTTCTCTCTCTGGGCTTCATTCTTGTTGTCTCTCTGCTCTG